GGTTTGTTGTCGTTTCCAAAGGTTATATGCTCTGTGTTTTTTCTGTACAGCCGTTTGACACTGGCTGTTGAACCAAGGTTTTGCATTAGCTCTACGTTTAGTTGTATGTTGTATATATGCATCCATTCCAGATAAGATTACTTGTGTTATTTCATTACAGCAAATAGTGGGATCAGCTGTTTTAAAGCAAACCTCTTGCCATGGAAAATCCAGGTAAAACTGTTTTAGGTCATTCCATTTTGCTGATTTATAGTGCCACATTTTACGAGGAAGTGGTTGTTGGCTTGGTGGGATGAGCATTTCGCACTCTGTTATTATAAGTTTATGATCGGAGGAACCAAGTGGAGCATCTACTTGAATTGTGTACGAGTCAGGATTTGTGGTTAGGAACAAGTCTAAAAGCGCTGCAAATTCGCCCCTTTCTGAGATACGGGTAGGTTCATCGACAATCTGCGTTAGACCACAACTTATGGCAAAAGCTTCTGCTTCTCTGCCTTCGTCATCTGTTTTGTTGTGGTGTTTCAGCCAGGGTATATTGTGGACGTTGAAATCGCCTAAAAAGACAATTTCCGCCTGTGGATAGTTTGACTGTATACTATCACAGCTTTCGGATAATGTCGCGAAAAAGTTTTGGTACTCGGTGTTACATGGCGGTCGGTAGAGGCAGCAGATAAACTTGGTCGATAACTTTGAGGTGAATTTTAGCCATATGATATCAAGGTTCGCTGGTTCTAGCTTCTCCTCTCGATGACATGAAAGGTCATTTTTAATGTACACACAGATCCCAAAATTATGTCGAAATCGGTGGTGTAGGTCATAGCCGGGATAAAGATAGTTCACAATAGGTGTTGCAGAACTGATTTTAGTTTCAGTGAGAACAAGGATGTCAGGTCTTTGTTCTTCAAGATGTTGGTGAACCGAATTCATATTTGTACTTATTCCTCCTATATTGCTAAAATCAATTCTGAGTTGAGTTTTTGATCTTCTCTTTATATCTTTGCATGAAGGACCCCCAGGATCACCCGACGCCCGGAGACCCGAGTGGTCGGGTATTTTATCTCCGGAATATTTTGATCCTGGAGGCGCCATCATGCTATCTGTTACTCATTGTTGGAACCGGACTGCCAGCGCAGTAGCGGAACGTGGTGATACCACTTAGCGCTACTCAATTCTGGCATGGCGGTATCTCACCGGTCGACGCCCAATGAGTAAAAAGCGTCTACCACCTAGTAGATGTTGATGTCTTTTTGGTCCCACGATAGATTTTTGTTCAATATATTTTCTAGCGCAAGAGTGAACAGTTTGGGTGAGATGGTATCACTATGCCTGACGCTTCTTTTTACAGGAATTTTGCCAGTAATTTGTTCCTTGTGCATTTTAAAACGTAGAGTGGCACGCTCGTTAATGGATTCAATGAGGTTGGAGTTTCTTGAATCTATACGTGCTTGGTCCATTGATTTGAGCACGAAATATAAAGATTTTTGATAATCTACGAAGGGTAAATGTAGAGGGATGTTAGATTCGGTGCATTTTTCGAAGAGTGTCCGCACTATTCAAATATGGTCGGTTTTACTATTTATTTTTCTGAACCCCGCTTATTGGTAAAAAATATTGGTAAAAATCGAATTTCTGGCTAAGGCGATTGGTTATTGTTTTGTCAGTAGTTAGACTGATGGGTCTATAGTTTTCTAGACTTGCATCATCCCCTTTCCTGAAGAGCAGGATGATCTCTGCGCGTTATTCCATGTCTTTGGGGTTTTGCACTCTTCAATACATTTATTCAACTGTTTCAAAAATTGCATCTTCTAGTGCTGCTCCGCCAACCTTTAGTATTTCGTTCGTGATCCGGCCCTCCCCTGGCGCTTTACCATTTTTTAGTTTATTAATTGCGTTACTTAGTTCAGGTTTATCTATATGTGGTATTCTGATACCCCGTTCAAAACGGGTCTTCGTAGTTGTTTTGGCTTGTCTTAGTTAGTAAAGTGGCTAGGACAGAGCTGACGCACTTTCACCCATTTTCCTATATAAATTTCCATAAGAAAATCTAAGGTCCAATCTGCAATTTTTTGTTCCGTTCAAGGTCATCACTCGCCTTCAGCTCAGGCGGTCTCGGTACGAGGTACGAGGTTATCATCCGTCACTGCGTCGGGTATCGTCGTTTCGCCATCGGGTCGTCATCCTTGTGGTTGTCGATGTCAATCACTCGAAATTATTTCTGTATTTAAAAAAAGTGTGGTTGGGGAACCGAACCCTCGAACTATTCTAGAAACAAGTGTGTAGACAGCTATACAGGTCCAGAGACAGGTCTAATACAGCTTTAGACAGGTCTCTATACAGCTGAACAGGTCTATAGAGACAGGTTTGTATAGCTGTATACATACCTGTCTAAAACTTTATTAGACTTGTCTTTGGACCTGTATAGCTGACAGCTGTCTACGCACTTGTCTTTAGAATAGTCCGAGGGTTCGGTTCCCCAACCAGATTTTTTTTTTTTTTTTAGAAATTATTTCGGGATGACGATCCGATGCCGAAACGACGATACCTGATGTAGATTGAACCTTAGATTTTCTTATGGAGATTTACATGGGAAAATGGGTGAAAGTGCGTCAGCTCTGTCCTAGAACCTTTACTTTGGTTTTGAACAGATTATCTGTGAAGTTTCCGGTAGAAGGTTTCGATGGCCTCTGTGATCTTGTCTTTTCCTCATTTTCGATTTTGTGAATTTGTAGCTTTCCCGTTGACATATTTGGGCATAAAACTTTCATATTTGAGTTGTTCTTAATGGTTTCCTTGATTTTCTGTTTGTTGTAGGCTCTTACATCTCTTGTTATGGCTTTGCTCAAGGTCTTATTCAGTTCCCTGTAGTTTGGTAAGTCCCTGTCAGTTTTTCTTCTTTCTTCAATTAGTCTCTTCGTGTTAGGATATTATGTAGATTTCCGGTTGGTTGTAGTTCCCGTTCGAGTTGAGTATTGTACTCTTGTTCTTTCCCTCATAATTCTCCAATGTTTGATATACTTTTCTCCAACTTGACCATAAATGAGAACAAAAGCTTCTTTTCTCAAAATTCCATTAAATTATATGGGTTTTCAATCGAAAATGAAACAATTAGACTTGATTATATTAGATTGTGATCAACCATAATCTAGTCTCGATGAACGTTTTCCAGGGGAAAATGCTAGTTCTCCTCTTGACTGACATTTCTGCTCATGCTAATAGAGAATTGAGTCAACCAGTATATATTTTTTTTCTCGAAACATGTTCAAATAAAGTTTTCAGACGGCGAAGAAAAAAATCTTGTTTCCTATGAAGAAATAGTGACTTAGAAAACATAACACACGAGTAGCATACAATGTTTTATCCAACAACTGAGAAATCATAACACACGAGACGCATACAAGAACTGAAAAACTAACAGGTATTCTTTGGGAATGAGTCTTTTTTGAAGCAGGATTTATAATTTTTTTTTTTATTGATTGATTTGAACCTATTTTACTTATTTAAAGTAATCCTCAGCGTGTTTAAATCCAACATTCAAAAACGCGCGTGTTTTAAAGTTATCATGACAACATCAACAACCCAAACAAGTATAAATGTCAACTTTTTAATTATTGATTTGTCAGGAGTAGGTTAGGTACTTGTAGATAACGTCAAATAAATTATAATAAGTGTTAGGCACGAATTTAGCATTCTACAATTATTACTAATTTATAATTTGAACGTATACCAATAAAAAAAATAGTGTATAGTATTCGTGGATAACTGGTCTTTGAAACACTTGCTCTATTTCGAGCACTCCGGCTGCGCCGTCGTGCTTGAAAACTCGCGCGTGTTTTAAAGACCTTAATAGCCACTTATACTTTAATATACTATTATTTCCTGACGTTTTGCGTTGACGTTATGAGAGAGTGAGTTATTTGATAGTTTACCTGCCTAAATTGGCATAAATAATGACTCTTATAACTAGCAGGTGTTGGATAAACAATTTAATTGAGTACTAGCAGTTCAGCTCTTCATAGCAACACATGTTTTTTTCTGTAGTTCCCGTTGAAAGCATAATATTTTATGGCTGAGCCGCCAGTATAATTTCTCCAGAGACCTGGCACACAGATAGATTTAAAATGCTAACACACTGGCGCGAGTCACTTTAGAATCTCCATTGATATTGAATGAAACGTAATACACACGGGATCGCGATGCAATGCACCATTATTTTTGTTCGTTATTAGCTATGGAATGGAAACATGCTTGTTGACCTCTACCGTCAAAGACACTTAATTAGTATGCTTCCATAACCCAGCAACTATCGTCAATTTCCATTTAAATGGGATTTTGATTTTTTCCTCTCTGCTCTAAATAAGTTTAACACTAAAAACTCATGAATATTTATGGGTTTGACAAAATTTGAATAGATAGTGCTTTATGTTTCCCTTGTGAAAACATTTTTCCTGATGAAATTAAAAATTTGATTTTAATAAATAGTCAAAGCAAAGTTCCTGCTGCTTTTATCTGCTAGTTATCTCATATCGCGATCTTATTAACGACCACTCTCGACTTTATGAAATTGGCCCTATTTTTCTATATAAATAAAAACCCCGGAGTCACTAAAGCCTTATGCTTCAATAAAAGTATTTATTTTCTTCAATAATAGGAGACGATAAAACATTATACGAAATAATAAAGCTGTTGCAAACGTTGCCGTATTTCTCGTTAATGCAATGTTCATTGGAAATTGTTGTCATCACATATTTTCAATTACAAAATGAATTTTCTAAGAACTTGTGAACGGCATAAAGACGACTTATGGCTTCCAGAATACTGTTTTCGATGGAAGTCAAGAAAGACGTCCTTTTGGCAAGATAATCAGGATGTAGGCTGAGATACAGAGTATAAAGAAAGAATCGAATTATTATCAGTCATTGTTGCATTAATATAATTTTATTTTTTTTTCAATAATTCCAAGCCATTCTCTATCTACAAACGAAAATTAATTGCGTACTTACCCAGAAGTGTGGAAATGGTAAATAACGGCATCGAAATGAGTCCAATGGCAAAATCAGCAACGGCGAGGGAGAACAGGAAATAGTTACTTATGGTTTGTAATTGTTTGTCGATCTTGAACGATATCATTACCATAATATTTCCTACCACTGTCAGCAATGACAAAATTGCAGCTGAAATAAAGCAAGAATGTTAATAACAAAATAATATTTCGGTTTTAGACATAAACAGATTACTATGAGATATTATAAACCGCAAACTGAATAAAGCATTTCCACTAAACATTCCCTTGCGACCATTGAATAGGAGTTGCGGAATAATTTCCTCTCTGGCTACTGCATATTTCCAAATACACAAAGCCGCAACGTCTTGAAGAGGAATTTCGACTAAGTTTTTGAAAGACATATTTTGCTGTAAGATATTTTTTTTTTGTTTACCTATGGTGCCTATTAAGACGACTTGAGTAATAGTGTACGTTGCCTCGTGGGGAGCATAGATGACGACAGTCGTATTCGTCGTTGGCGAGGTGTTCATGTTGTCACGAGGACTCTTGGGCTAGACGTCGCCTCATGTCGCCTGCTCGCCCTCGCTGAAGCTGAAAAAAAAAACACTATTGTAACATACAAACTCAATAACGATAATGAAATGTGTAATTAGTTAGAGAGGAAACAATTTGTATTCCATGCACAATTCTGATGATGGCGAAAGCCGAAAGCGCGCTACTACGCTAAGTTTCAATGAACTGAATTGTGCATGGAATAGAAATTGTTTCCTCCCTTAATAATTTAGACACATGCAAGCAGTCACCTTTCCTCGGTAAATGTATGATTGTTCAAATCCCTAATAATATAAAGACCAGACATTCGACATTATTCACAACAAGTCTGCAAGAGAAAGTCGAGTTTGTTATTCTGCCTCTGCTGTCTATGCTTTAAAGCTAAAAGTATTCGAACCATAGTTAGTCCGGTGGATCTTTTCTGAGAAGGTAGTGAAAGAGCGTATGATTCTTGTTGGGGCATAAAATCCAATTCTGGATAGTAGGTATATGGAATCGTTGTGAGCGTTTAGTATTCTAAAAAATGTTAATCAATCGCTTTGATTTCGTCTGGCGGCTAAGGCTTGCAGGTTGAAGCGTCGGTAGAGGTCATCATATTTGTAGATATAATTTTCGGGGAGGAGGAATACCTGCCTTGAAGGACAAGTACTGTAGAAATTTATGCTGCACCTGCTCCAAGGCGTTGATGTGTACAGAAAACATAGGTGACCAAACCGAGGAGCAGTACTCCAGGTTGGGCTTTATCATTGTGCAGTAGAAAAGCCTGATTGAAGAGATGTTAGTGAAGTCCCTTGAACACCTCTCAACAAAGCCCAGCCAGATCAGAGACCTGGTAGCGATATCCGAAATGTGGCTGGAGAAGCTTAACGTGTTATCAAAAATGACACCGAAATCACGTTGTTGGGACACTGTTTGAAGTGGTTCATTGCTTATGTGGTAAACAAATTGTATGGGGCTTTGACTTTTAGAGAAAACGATAGCTTTACATTTAGTGGCATTGACTATTGAGTTCCATGGCACTTGTGACACCATTCGGAGAGTCTATTCAAATCAGATTGTAGTCTGGCACCGTCTTCGTGGAAAGAGACTCGGGCGAAAATCTTTAAGTCATCGGCAAAACACTGTAACCTGTTAAGTTACTTGTCCTTTTTTTTCAAATTTAATTTTATATAACCCTTTTAATGTTGACAGTCTGATGACTAGCATTAAAATACAGGGTTATATATTACTATATACTTATATTATTAAAAATTATTAAATTATTACACTAGGGGGGGAGGCGATTTTCATTTAAATTTTACGTACCGGTTAATATCAACCTCTCCCATTGACTATTCGGAGAGGAAGCGCTGTCTGCTCACCTTGTCTACAGTGACTCTATTACCACAGTGGCGACAATTGCCGTCTTCTTTTTTGTTGGTTCTTTGAAATCTATATATTCATATGGAAAATGCCTCCATTTTGTACCCAACCTCTTGCTACTTTTAAATATGAATATATAGGATTTAAATGGACATCCATCATTATTAGGCACATCAGATACGTTGTTTTCAATTTTTTATGATGGATTTCCATTTAAATCCTATATATTCATATTTAAAAGTAGCAAGAGGTTGGGCACAAAATGGCGGCGAAACCTCTATTGTCGTCACTGTATGTGAAGGTTTATTTAGCCACTGTAACCTTGTCCATTTCAATTCTCTATCTTTTTGAATTGTGTCGTCGTGCTGAAAAGTCGATCGACTGAAAATCGCCATCTTCTCGAGACAACCGTGCCGTGGAAGTACCTTATCGGCCTTCAGGCATTATCTTATCTTTACGAAATAAAGTTGCGTACGGCAATAATCCGTAGATTGCAAAAAAAATTTGATTCAAAGGTCTTGTGATTACCATTTTATTTAAGTTTGGGTTAGTTTGAGTTAGTTTTTTTTTTTTTTCAAGTAATAGCTTTTCAAGCCAACAAATCTATTTATAAAAGGCCACATTTTCAATAGGAACACCATTTCCGTGAAGTGTGGCATAGAGCTTTTGAAGGGATTCCTATAAGAATCAAGACCCTCACGAGTCGATACGTGTGCCCCACATTTGACGATAACTGAGAACTTCTAGTCTCTACCTTGATTCTAGGCTAGAATCTGCAACTTTCAAGTGCAGTTTCTTTCATCAAATGATCGATGATGGATGGCTACCGTACTCTACCTTATGTTGGAATGGTGACTTGTATAAAGTTTTATTAATAACTTTCAATACCTTTTCTTTTATAAAATCAGTTTTATAGTCAATTAACAAAATTAAGATATTTTTTTTATATGATTTTCATACACCTTTGAAATCTCTTATTCTTGACACCGAGGTGGAAAATTAGCTTTCGATTTATCGAATTTATTATGGATTTGTCTTTGCATAACTTTTAATATTGCCTTATATTTTATCAATAATATTCGATAACTATTCTGAACAAAAGTCAAGGTTGGACAACATGTTCTAAATTTGAAATTGTTGAGTAAGAGCCTACCGTCGAAAATTGATCAATTTTTAACCCGAGGTTATATACATATATAACTATGTCTCCAGACCATTTAACTGTTTACAACCCAATTTTCCATTTTTTACAGGTACAAATTGATTTTTTCGAATTTATTTTCTTGCAGAAGCTGACCATATTTATCAATACAATTTTTCAATCATTCATGGAACAGGCTCCGGTAATAATGGATAAACATTCGGTGGCTTCAAGATCTGAGGTTAAGGAAGACTGAGCAGCAACAGCTGCAGAAATGAGACTGTCACTACTCCAGTGAGCCTTGGGTAAGTTGAAAACACAGAAAATGCAAAGTTTGTAATCTGGGAATGTATCCGATAAAGTTTCCACTGAGTCCGAAAAACATCTGTAACTCTCGCTATTGGATCTAGGTGGTAGGTAAACTGCACCAAGCAATAATTTACTATTCTCCGAGTGTACCCTGACGAATAACTGTTCAATAGTCCTGGGTTCAGGCTCTCAAACTTAGAATCTTGGAACTTTTCTAAGACGCATGGCGCAATGTTCTTATTCTCAGATATTATAAAGAATTTAGGATTTTTAGATGGGATTTTAAAAATATTGAAAGAAAGCTACAGGGTTATGTTAAGGAACCTGCAAAAACAAAAGTTTCACAATAAACATTTTGTATATCAATAAGTAATTTTGTTAGAGAACATGCAAATAGTACATCTGAAGGCCTTTAAACTCCTCTACAAACCCTGGAAATTTTAGCAAATTAGGATTTTTTTTTCAAAAAGTTATAGAGGGTCAAAGATTATCAGGTAGAGTTTTGAAAAATATTGAGTTGTCCAGGCTTTCAACTTTAGAATCTTGGACACATAGTACAAAGTACAAATTTTCAGATAATATGGAAAATGTCAAGGTCTTTTAAATGGAATAATGAAAATATTGAAAAAAAAATGCCATCATAGCAAAAATGAAACTGTCTCAAAAAGCACGTTGTATATCAAGAAGTATTTTTTTCAGAAAAAATCCAAATAGTTCATCTGAAAGCCTATAAAATTCTTCATAAACCCTAAAACCTTGAGCGATCTACGAAATTTTTTCAAAAACTTATGGCGGGTCAAAGATTATCAGGTACAGTTTTGAAAAATATTGACTTGTCTCTTTCAACTTAAGAATCTTGGAACTTTTCTAAGACAAATGATTCAAAGTACAAACTTCCAAAGATTATAGAGAATTTCAAGGTATTTTAGATGGGATACTAGAAATATTGAAGAAAAATTGTCATCATAAACTACAGGGTGATTTTAAGGAAGCTGCAAATATAAAAGTCTTTCAAAAATCAAGATGTATATCAAGAAGTAATTTTTTGAAAGGAAATCGAATTTATTCATCTAAAAGCCTATGAAATTCTTTACAAACCCTGAAAATTTAAGCCAATTACTATTTTTTCTTAAACATTTATGAAGGGTCAAAGATTATCAGGTAGAATTTTGAAAAATTTGAGTTGTTCAGTGTTTCAACTTTGGAATTTTTGAACTTTTCTAAGACACATGGCACAATGTTCAAATTTTCAGAGAGTATGGAGAATTTTAGGAATTTTTAGATGGGATTGTAAAAATATTGAAAAAAGATGCCACGATAAGCTACAGGGTTACGTTAAGGAACCTGCAAAAACAAAAGTCTCTCTCTCTCAATAAACACTTTGTATATCAATAAGTAATTTTGTTAGAGGACATCCAAATAGTTCATCTGAAAGCCCTTAAAATCCTCTACAAACCCTGAAAGTTTGAGCAAATTACGAAATTATTTCAAAAATTCATAGAGGGTCAAAGATTATCAGGTAGAATTTTAAAAAATTATGAGTTTTTCAGGCTTTCAAATTTAGATTCTTGGAACTTTGTTGAGACACATGGTACAATGTTCAAATTCTCAGAGATTATAGGGAATTTCAAGATCTTTTAAATGGGATACTGAAAATATTGAAAAAAAAATTGCATTCATAAGCTACAGGGTGATTCTAAGGAAGCTGCAAAAATAGTTCTCTCCAAAAAGACGTTGTTTATCAAAGAGTAATTTCCTATAAGAAACCCAAATCCATCATTTGGATGAAGCCCCTCCACAAACCCTGAAAGTTTCAGCAATTTACGATATGTTTTCAAAAAGTTATAGAGGGTCAAAGATTATCACCATCAGGTACAATACTTTTCGAAAAACCTTGAGATTCTGTGAAAAACCACATTTGGACTATAATTATGTCATGATTGCCACTAGAAAAATTACCTTGTAGATAAAAAGCCACTAATAATCACAATTTGAACTATTCTCGGCTCTTGAATTGCTTTCTAGAAATTTCTCAATGATTTCAAGAGCTGGTAACAATCAAAATTTGGACTATAAGCGGCTTTTAATTCGCTGGATAATTTTTCTAGAAGGTATCAGTATCCGTTAATCGAAATTATAAACAGTGATAAATTACTCAGGCGCACCAAGATTCTGTGAAAAATGAAACGGTGCCAAAAGAAATAAAATAAGGTCTACATAACTACTA